GCCGAATGGAAGAAGATCACAGGCCAGTGGGTGGGAAGTCTTGTGGATCCAGTGGTGTTGTAAGCATCTCAGCGCAGGCAGGGGTCTCCACGTGGCTCCTCCAGCTCAGGGCACTAGTGTAGTTCCATGTGTCTTGTCAGCTGCAATGTCTCCCAGACAATGCGTATGTCCCATCTCCAGTGAACGATTTATCTCCTTAAAGCCTCCATATGAGGTCATCAAGCTGCTACCTGATTGACTGGCTAAACCCCACCCCGTCACTCGCAAGTCTCAAATTGACAGCATATTAGGTAACTACCACAGTAGTCATGTCATCACCCTTATGAATATGCTGAAACCCATTCTCTTGCCCCTGTGGCTCAGTCGTTCACATAGTTAGGCACTTGGCTATGAGCTAAAAGGTTAGTGGTTCAAATCCACCCTGAGGTGTGTTGGAAGATAGTCCTGACGAGCAGTTCCTGAGGTCACAGCCTTCTACTCTGCATGCACATTGTTGTTGGGTGCTATGAGCAGAGCCCCGTGCACAAAACAACCAGACCCTGCCCGGTCCTGCGCCATCCTCACAATTGTTCTTATGCCTGAGCCCAGTGTTGCAGCCACCGTGGCTGACCATCTCGTTGAGGGCCGTCCTCTTTTCCACTGCCCCTCATTTTACCAAGCACAATGTCCTTCTCTGGGGACTGCTCTCTTATACCTACAGTTTGGTGTTAAGACGACTCTGGGTGTACATTTGGTTTATGGTTTAAAGATGACCTTGGGGCAACAGTCTCCAGGCTTCATCCAGCCTCTATGGCTTCCGAAAGCCTGGCGTCCATGAGAATTCAGAATTTGGTTCTCCATCTCCTCGCTTTGAATCAAAGAGTCTCGTATAAAATGTTCAGTGATGGTAGCCAGGCAACAACCAATTCTCCTGTTCTCATTGACGATGACCTTGGAACATTAGTTTCAGGGGCTCATCCAGCCTCGTTGGGTTCAGAAAGTCTGCACTCCGTGGGAATTTGAAATTGCAGTCTACGATTTTTCCTTCTTTAATCAAAGATTCTATATAATATTTACTAATGGTAGCCAGGTACTAACTATTTCTTCTGATCTCATAGCAATGGAGGCAGGTTCTCTCCCCTCCTAGCCACCATCTCCCAGCAGAAATATTTTCATGAACTGTGGGTGGCCAGATCTAGGGAGGGACCCCCACCACATGGATGCCCTTCTTCCCCACATCCTGCTCACCCGGCCCCCCGCCACAGAGACTCAGGAAGGGGCTGCCACCTGGTGAGATGTAGGATATGCAGAATTGAGCGTGGCTGCCCCGATGGGTGTGGGGGTGTCTTTGAGGAGGTTGTGATGTGGGTCTGAAAGTCCAGGGTCTGAGTGACGACCCTCTGGGCAGTGGGGACTTTCTGGGATGGGAACATTTTGTGGAGTACTTGAGATGATGTCTGAGAGAGGGAGGGAGAGACAGCGAGGAGAAGGAGCGAGAGGAAGAGAGAGGGGAGAGGAAGAGAGAGAGGGAACGTGACAGAGAAGAGAGGGAGGGAGAGAGGGAGGGAGACCAGTGGGCTCTGGAGGCCACTACAGGATGCTGCAGGGCTTCTTGTGCTTGGGAAGTTTCTCGGAAACAAGCACTTGGACCAGCAGCATGCTGCCCGGGTGTGTGACTCACAGGAACTCCTGAGCTCTGAGGAGGGGCCTTTGAACACCTTGTGAGGTGGTGGATGCTGACTTCAAGGCAGAGCTGTTCCACCAGCTTCCGGGCCTGGGCTGTGTTGTTAGTGCCCACATTGTCTGCCATCCCCTCTGGTTCTGCATCCAGAGAGCTTTCTGAGCCTCCCGGAGAGGAGGGGCAGCCCCAGGAGGCCACGCATTCTACATCCTCCTTCTGTTCCCGACTCCCTCCTTCCTCTGTTGCTCCAGACGGACAGAGACTAACCGCCCTGCCTGGATGGCCACTCTCAAGCAAAGCTCATGCTTTGGCGTTGGTGCCTCATCTCCAGTGATGAGTGTGGTCACCACCATGGCCCAGAAGAACTATGTCCATATTGATGTCTACCCAAGTCTACCTACCAAATTGGCAGGCAACTGTGAAAAGGGCAGGCTGAGCTTCACCGGTCCCACCACCCCTGTGTGGAGTGAGGTGCAAAAATGAAGGCCCCTGTATCAGGCCGGGGGGGGGGGGGGCACAGCGGGGTCAAGCTGACCGTTCAGTCCTTCCCTCTGTTTTCTTGGTGCCTGTAGTAGAGTAAGTCAAGGTTCCACTGTCTGGACTTTGGGCGTGTCACCCTTTAAGAATACCATGGACTCAACAGAAAACAACCCCTTCCCCCATCTTTCCCCTGCTAGGGAATCATGACCTTGTCCACTCAGACTTTCTAGCATCTTCCAGATGTCAGTTCCAGGAGTAGCTCGTGAACTGTTTCTATGAAGGGCTGGAAGAGGCCCTGGGAATACTCACACTCTGGGGACACACATGGAATTCTGGGCAGTGCAAGCGGCTAACACTTGCCTAACCAAGGATGGGAGGTGTGGGTCTAGCCAGAGGCACGTTGGCAGAGAAATCTGGTCATCTACTGCTGAATTATCAGCTGTGGAAACCCCTGTGGAACTCCGAGGTGGCATACCTTGTTATGTATTGGGCTGCTAACCACAAGATCAGCGGTTCGAAACCACCCACTCTCCTTGGGAGAAAGAGGAGATGTTCTACTCCCATAGAGAGCTGCAGTCTCCGAAACCCGCAGGGCCAGTTCCCCCTGTCCTGGAGGGTCGCTATGGGCCAGAATGGACTCAGGGGCAGTGAGTTTGAGGTTGAGGGTCTCCAGGAGTTGAGGTCAACTGGAAGGTAATTAATGGGCACGTGCAGTCCCTGCCCTTGCTGTCTGCAGACAGATGCTGGCCACTGGCCCAGGCTCTGCACGGGCCCTGGGACCCTGCAACCTCTCTGGCATCGGAGACCTGTGAATGGAAGCAGGGGGCCGGCAATTGGACTGATGCTGGTGTGTGCCCAGGGGTCTGGTCTCATCACTGCTCTCCCACCAGGCACACAGCAGGGGTTGCTCAGGATTGTGTGCAGGGCACGGCTGCACACAAAATGGCCCAGGTGCTCAGCTGCTCGGGTGCTGAAGGCTCCTTGGCAGGAAGTCTTGTCTATCTCCTGAAAAACCCGGCTGTCCCAAACCCTCACGAGCCCAGTTCTCCTCTGACCACAAGGGCTCAGGTGGCTCTGCAGGAACGCAGAGGGCAGTGGGCCCTAAGGCTAATGTTTCTTCCTACAGAGCTCAGGGCAGACAGGCCCACTCCCTGGGGTTGATTTATACTTGAGCCTCAGAAGAAGGTTCTAAAACAAGAGGGTTCAAGGATCAAAGGCCTCCTCTGAGCAATTGTGAAGGAGGAGGGGTGGAGTCAGGGCTGGAGGCCTGGGCCTGGTTGCAAGTCTCTGGCTTTTTGTCGCTGGGGCCCAGGGTCCTGAGTCCCCAGGACAGGGGCTGCAAGCTCTCCAGGAGTCGGTGGCTGGCCTGGCTTGGGAGCAGGGAAGAGAACACCGCTCCAGCATGCCTGCAGACTTAATGAAGTTGCCTCATTTCCCGGCCAGGCGGGTCCCGCCCTCTTACCCATGGACTCTGTCTCCTCGTGTGCCCAAATGCCCTGGCAGTGCCCAGGCTGCCAGCAAGGCCGGGCTTGTGGAGACAGAAGCATGGATTCCCCGGAGCTGAGTCTCCCTGTTCTCACACTCAGGCCCAGCAGCTCCCAGGCCCCAGGGAGGGAGTCTACCCTGTGGGAACCCCTGGGGAGCAGCAAGCCAAGGGGGAGGAGAAGCCAGGTAAGAAAGACAGGCAGCCGGCCTCTTTATGGCTGGAGGCTTGGGGGCCAGTCACATGGTGGGGGTGGGGGTGGGGGTGAGTGGCCTCTGCCAGTTGGCAGCCGTCCCAGCTAAAAGGCTGTGGACTCTGGGGGCCACCTCCCCACAGGGACCTAGGCACCTCATTCTGATGACTCTCGGAGCCTGTGTAGCTGGAATGCTATCTTGGGGGCCCCTGCTTCCACACCCTCAGGGTGTCTTTCTTCCAGGGTGTGGGCACAGGCAGCCAGCACCACTGTCAGCTAGACGCTGCCTGCCCGTGGGTGGGGCAGGCCGCACAGTGCTCGCAGGAGAGCCACTGAGGCTGGAGGAGGTGGCCCCACCCCCTCCCTCCACCCTCTAGCCAGCACCCTCTCTCACAAGAGCTCCTAGGGTGGGGTGTGGGCAGACCTGTGAGCTCCAAAGCAACAAGGGCTCAGCACAGTTTGGGGGAACCCGGAGGGGTGACCTCTGAGCTGAGAACCAAGGGACAAGCTTCAAGGAAAAGGGGACAGAGAGCAGGAGTGTTGTGTAAGTGGTTCTGTCCTTTGTAGGGGATTTGTATTCAGTTCACAGCCCCCGTCCACAGCGCGGGAGAAGAATCTTCTAGTTCCACGTGGCAGGGCCCACCCCGTGGCCTGCTGACCCTCCCCCCTGACCACACTCTACCTCCCGGCTAGGGCTGAGTTCTCGGTTTGCCAGGCGTGTGCGTGCTCAGCAGTGGGGAGAGAAGCCAGCCTCCATGCCAGGGCGCCCTCTGCCTGGGCCCTGCCAGTGGGTGACCAGTACCTGGTCCCACTGGGTGCCAGGGATTCTGGAGGACTTAGCTGCATCCACCCCTTTCTTCTGCAGAACAATCCAGGTTGTTGTTGTTTTCACCTGTCTGCTGGTCTGTTCTGACTCCCGGCGGTCTTGTGCACAACAGAACACAGCACTGCCGGGGCCTGAGCCATCGCCACCATTGTGGCTAAGTCTGAGGCCGGTGTCACTGCCGCTCCAAGGACCTGGAGTCAGAGGAAGGCGCAGCGAAGAGAAACGCCCAGGCCGGGAGCTGGGTGCCCAAGGAGGTTGACAGAGAAGGGACTATTTGCAATGAGAAAGAGCCTTGGAAGAAGTCCGGCCAGAGTGCTCCTTAGAGGCAAGGATGGCAAGACTTTGTCTTACATACTTTGGGCACGTTGTCAGGAGAGACTGGTCCCTGGAGAAGGATGTCATGCTTGCTAGAGGGGGAGCGAAACAGAGGAAGGCCCTCAAGGAGATGGACGGACACGGTGGCTGCGTCAGGGGCTCAGACATGGGGAC